AGCCTGAAAACACTTAGTGCTCTTGACACTTGTTGTTAAGTTGACTTAAATCATTCTTTGTCTTTTACTTGCCATATTCACAGTCTCAAAGCATTATGTGGCAGTTTGCTGCTGTTTTGGACAGCAGACTGTCTCCATCACCACAGAGTTTTGTTGGTTAGCCTTGCACTGCTGTTCCTGTCTTTCTGGTCTCTGCTGACTCTCATTGGCTTATCTGCATCTGGTCTAAGGGAAGGGTGAATGAAAGGAAGGGAAAGGGGAGGCACATTTTTGTTATTAAATGACTTAAATGGTACTTATGTCACTTCTGCTTGTAGCTCTCTGGCCAAAATTCAATATCATACTGACATCTTATTGGAAGAGCAGCTAAAGGGTAACTAGCAAGGTGCCCTGCTAAATCCTGTTTTATTGGGGTTGGGGGGAGTAAGTAGTCTGTTACTGAAAGATTTTCAGTGGAGAGAAACAAATGCTAGAGTACAGCGGGCAGATATTGATAATCACAGTAAGACCCCCACCCCATGTAGCCAGGAATTAACCTCAGAGTCTCTAAACCACATGGCAGTCATGCCTGAATTAAGAAACAGCCTGACTCAGCATTCATTTGAAGTCCAAGAGAGAGCCAAACTCTGGGAGCCTGCATGTTCAGTTATCTTTTGAACTGTGCTCCTGAGCCAGGCTTCACTCATCTTTATACTGAAGCAGTATCTTCAGCATGAAATGGGGAAGTAGAAGTCAGGAGCCACCTGTATTAGAGAATCTTGGCTTTGGATCCCTATGCCTAGGATATCACATGCACAATTACAAACAGACTGCTTAATTTTTCTCATTATTTGCAGCTTTCAGCACTTTGATATGTAAAGCATGCATGCAAGAATTCGTTCATACTCTGTTTTATACTGTCTTGAGTGGAGGGCAAAAGGGGTCCTGATTAAGGCCATATGCCCAGGTCACAAGCGCATAGCTCAGTGAACTTGTTCACATTAGAAACATTAACTTTTTGTTTTTAAGTTTAGGCAAAAGTTAGTTTAGATTATGTCTATATTGTAAAACTAATTCCTACAATTAATGTCATTAGTTTCTTAATTTTACATGATGATACTCTGCATAACTTGAAATTATAAATGATTTATTTGAATTATTATATTTTTTACAGTTTTAAAATATTTTATTTTATTATTATTATTTTTTTGTCTTTTTGAGACAGGGTGTCCCTGTAGCCCCAGCTGTCCTGGAACTCACTGTGTAGACCAGGCTGGCCTTG